TCCTTCCTTCCTTCCTTTTTTCCTTCCTTCCTTCCCTCTCTTTCTCTCTCTTTCATTGTTTGGCTAGTGGAATTTAAGCTCAAGTTGTCTGTGACAGTTGCTCTTATCTTGTCCCAGCTGTGCCAACTCAATGGCTCTCACCCAGGGTGGGGAGAGAGACAGAGCCGGCTTCTCTGGAGAGCTATTGCAAAACACTTCAGCCGAGTCAGTCCCTCCACGCCCTCATTCTGGCACACCTGTGGTGGGTGGGTACCTGTGGAGATATGCATCTGTCGGGTGAGTGGACCAGCCTCTCTTGTCTTCTTTATCAAGGCTTGAGCACAGAGCTTAGTGGAGTGAGGAACTGTTAAGTTCACTAAGGGAACTCTGCCGTATCTTCGACCCCCCCCCCCCCCCCCCCCGGGCCCCGGGGGCCGCGGGGTTACTCCAGTCTCTTTGGTCCTTACACACCTTGTCCCTCACCTCTCTGTCATCAGATATCTGGCCCCTTTGGATACCTTCTAGCCTGCTGGGTGGAGGCCTGGTTGGCAAAGGAGGGAAAGACCCAAGGCTGGAGTGTGGTGGTGCCCCGTGGGTAGAGTGAGCAGGGAGGTCCGAGCAGTCTCCAGGCTTGCTCACCTGTGCTTCACGTTTGGGAGGGAAACACCATGGGCAGAAGGGCGGGCAGAAGCTCTGATGGGAGGATGAAGGGATGACACAGGGAGATTGGGGCGGGCTAGTCACAGGCTGAGTGTCTTAAGTGGGATTGCTCCACGGTCAGAGGGGAAATAGCACAAAGTTCCTGGGGAAAGAAAAAATATAGATAGACAAAATAGGCTGCAGATGTTCTTGTCAGGAAAGACCATTGTGCTGTTTGTAGGAAGCACTGGTTTCAATTCCCAGGGTTCAGTGAAATCCTGTGTGGGGATATAGGCCCGATGCTTGGGAGGCAGATGTAGGATTAGAAATTCAGTCTTCCCTGGCTACATAGTGAGTTAGAGGCCAACTTGGGCTATAGGAGACACTGTTAAAATAAACACAAGAAGCCAGAGAAAGGCTTCGACTCATTCAGCTTTTGTCTAAAACTGAGAATCTGTTATTTCTGAGCTTGCAGTGTTGGACGTCTTTGCTGTCGGGAAGCTGTCAGGATAGTAGAGGGTCATTTGGGGTTTGGGGTGTGTTTCCTGTGTCTCCAAGTCGATTTTGAATGTTACTGATCCGCGAAATCTAAACACCTGATAACTGCTTGAATCTAAGGAGGACAAGAATCAATTTTCTAAGAATCAAAGTTCCCCTTTCTCTCTCAAGTGTGAATGGTTTTGTCTAGTAGGGACAATAGACACGAAATTCAGTTGTCCCTTCTAGTGGGAGGGAGTGCCTTAGAGAAGGAATGAGAGAAGCCCCAAGGTTCTCCTTAATGCTTTTTTTTTCCTGGTCGGGGTGAAGGCTACATGGATGTCAAGTATTTTATTCTCTATACTTTTGCCTATTTTAAACTAAAAATAACACCTGCAGATTATAGAAGATTAGAAGTTACAGAGGGGCACTTAGAAGGAAATCACCCTCCAGCCTAAACCACAGCTAGAGAGAATTATGTGGCTTTCCCCCCCCCAACTATCCAAGCTCTCTCTAACCCTCACAGAGGGAAAGCTAAGTTAATTCTCCTACTCTGAATCTATGACCTATTGGATACGTGGGGATAAAAGAACTTGGATTTAACCAACTAGGCATAATCTTTGAAACCTTTGTCACTAAAGAGCTGAAGGCCCAGAAATCAAGGCATTTTCTACAGCACCCTACCAACAACAGGGCTTGTGCTTCCCAGATTAAATCTACTTTTCCTTTCCAATAGTGACCCAAGGTCCAAACATTTTAACACGAAAACACATTGGAACGGAAATTCTTGGGTCTTGCAAGGGAAAGCCTTTGTCCCAGAGCCTACTCCGTGCTGGAATTGTACATGTACAACCACCAGACACCATTTCTACAATGCTATGATCAAACCCTGAGACCTGTGCATGCTCACCAGACACCCTACCTACCAACGGAGCTCTGCCCCCAGCCTTTCTACATTTTATCATGTAATCTGTGTTATGGAGAAGAAAGCCTTCCCCTTTCCAGCTTCAGAGACTGGCCTTTACAAATTAAACTGACAGAAGACAGATTGTTGGAAAGGAAATTTACTTTGTGTCTATACGAAAGAGTCACAGAAAAAAAAAAAAAAAAGGAAAAACCCAAAGAAATGCTTAGGCTTGAGGGTTCATATACCATCTTTTTAAAATTAACTAATTGTTTTTTTAACTGTCTTTTTTCCTTTTACATACCAAATCCAGTTCCCACTCCCTCCCTTTCTCCCCCTCCCTCCACATTTCCCCTCCATCCCACCCCTCATTCACTCCTCAGAGAGAAGTCAACAAAGTCCAGCACATTGCTTTGAGGCAGGGCCAAGGCCCTCCCCAGTATATCTAGGCCTAGCAAGGTATCCCTCCAGAAAGAATGGGTTCCGAAAAGCCAGAACAGGCAGTAGGGATAAATCCTGGCCTCACTGCCAATGGCCCCACAGTCTGCCCCAGCCATATACCAAAGGGCTGTATGTTGTGGTAAAATAAGACAAAGGAAATCAAGTTTGAACTTCTGGGGACAGTAGAGAATGGGAAGAGTTATTTAAGGTTATTCAGGTATATTATGTCATTCAAAGCCCACTCTTAAGCGGATCTTCAGATAAGCAATGCTGAGTGTTCCTTCACAAGCCTGGAGGGGCACACAAGTGATCTCACACCATCTCTGCCTTGCAGTAAGTAGGTGCTGAGTGTTTCAGACAAGGTCCTCAATTACAATACCACCTTGGGTATGGTTAGTCAGTGTTCAGGACTGTAACAAAAGGCCTGTGACAATCAGTTTAATGGAGACAGTCAAATTAAAAGAGGTACGGTTTATTTTGGTGTATAGATTCAGAGTTTTCAGTCAATACTCTTTGGGCCACATCTCTGTGAGCCTGGAGCTGCACATTATGACAACTTACTTTACTCCAGCCTGGGAGCAAATAAGGAACTAGAGGAAGAGGTGAGGGTTCAGATATCCCCGCCAGGGGCATATTTCCAATGATCTAACTTCCTTTCCCTAAGCCCCACCTCTTAAAGAGGCAGCTACCTTTAGGCAGTGCCTTTAGTGCATGGATGTTTGGGCATCTAAGTTCTAAACCACAAGAGTAGAAGTGGGGTGTGCATAAATCCCTGCCAGAATGTGGAGCCTTTCTTCCTTCTTTCTTTCCTTCCTTCCTTCCTTCCTTCCTTCCTTCCTTCCTTCCTTCCTTCTTTCCTTCCTTTTTTAAGTTTCTTGAGACAGGATTCTTTCTTTCTTTCTTTCTTTCTTTCTTTCTTTCTTTCTTTCTTTCTTTCTTTCTTTCTTTCTTTCTTTTATTGTTTTTATTGAGCTATGTATTTTTCTCCACTTCCCTTCCTTCCTCTTTCCTCTCCTTCTACCCTCTCCCCCATGATCCTCATGCCCCCATATTACTCAGGAGATCTTGTCTTTTTCTACTTCCCTTAGATCCAAGTATGTCTTTCTTAGGGTTCTCTTTGTTGTCTAGGTTCTCTGGGATTGTGAATTGTAGGCTGGGTTTTTTTTTTTCTTTATGTCTAAAAGTCACTTATGAGTGAGTACATATGATATTTGTCTTTCTGGGTCTGGATTACCTCACTCAATATGATGTTTTCTAGATCCATCCATTTCCCTGGAAATTTCAAAATGTCATTATTTTTTCTGCTGTGTCGTACTCCATTGTGTAAATGTACCACATTTTCCTTATTCGTTTTTCGATTGAGGGGCATTTAGGTTGTTTCCAGGTTCTGGCTATGACAAACAATGTTACTTTGAACATAGTTGAGCACATGTCCTTGTGGTATGATTGAGCATCCTTTGGGTATATACCCAAAAGTGGTATTGCTGGGTTTTGAGGAAGGTTGTTTCCTAATTTTCTGAGAAATCACCATATTGAAATCCAAAGGGACCAGTTTGCACTCCCACCAGCAATGCAGAAGTGTTCCCTTTACCCCACATCCTCTCCAGCATAAGTTGTCATCAGTGTTTTTGATCTCGGTCATTCTTACATGTGTAAAATGGAATCTCAGAGTTGTTTTGATTTGCTTTTCTCCAATAGCGAAGGATGTTAAACATTTCCTAAGTGTCTTTCAGCCATTTTAGACTCCTCTGTTGAGAGTTCTCTGTTTAGGTCTGTACCCCATTTTTCTTATTAGATTATTTGTTCTTTTGATAACCAATTTCATGAGTTCTTTGTATATTTTGGAGATCAGCCCTCTGTCTCATGTGGGGTTGGTGAAGATCTTTTTCCATTCTGTAGGCTGCCATTTTGTTTTGTCAACTATGTTCTTTGCTTTACAGAAGCTTCTCAGTTTCATGAGATTCCATTAATTAATTATTTCTCTCAGTGTCTGTGCTACTGGGGTTATATTTAGGAAATGGTCTCTGAGGCAGGATTTCTTTATGCAGCACTGGCTGTTCTAGAACTCGCTCTGTAGAACAGGCTCACCTTGAACTCACAGAGATTCTCCTGCCTCTGGCTCCTGAGTCCTGGGACTAAAGGTGTGTGCCATCACCACCCAGCTCACATGGATCATTTCTTAGGAGTTAATTGGAATTCCCAGTGCCCCAGTCTTCTTCAGCCCTCTGGTACTAGAGAGGCCCAGAGGCCACATCAGGGCTGTGACCTTGCAGTTGGAGGAACTGCATTAGGGATGAGCTCCATTTACACTGGAACTGCAGTAGGGATGAGCTCCATTTACACTGGAATCCCAGCACTCAGGGGTGGAGGGAGGAGAATCAGAAGATGGATGCAATTTTTAGCTACACAGTGACTCAAAGGCCAGAAAAACAAAATCCTAAACTAGGCAGTGGTGGTGCATGCCCTTAATCCCAGCACTTGGGAGGCAGAGGTAGGTGGATGTTCAAGTTCGAGGTCAACCTGGTCTACACAGAGGCAGTTCCAGGACAGCCAGGGCTTCACAGAAGAGCCCTGCCTCGGAGGAAAAAAAAAAATCTGTCTCAAAGAAAAATGAAAGAAAGAAAAAAGAAAGGAAGAAAAGAAAAAGCAAAGGAATGAAAATTCATCTTAGAGGCGTAATTTTGACAGTGTTTGTAAATTTCTTTGAAGTTTTATTTATTTGGTTTAGATTTTGGGGTGAGCTTAGTAATTATTTTAACTGTAGTCAACTCACATAACCATTGTAGCACCACCTGACTGAGATTAACGTTCTCTGGGGTTTTATTTGTTTTTGTGGTTTGGATCTATGATTTGGGGAAAGAAGAGTTGCTGGCTCATTTCGGCTGACTTGTAACCTTCCTGTCTTCGACTCCCGAACGCCGAATTGCAGGTGTGTACCAGCCTACCCGACTCTTACTGCTCCACCAGCCTACCCGACTCTTACTGCTCCTCTTAATTTGCAGGTGTTTTTTTTTAAGCCTCTTTCATCAGTAGGCACTTTTCATGCATTTTAATTATTTGGTAGGTTCTCAGTGTCTGAGACAGTGAATCATGCGTGCACCACTGACATTCAGCTGAGCAGAGCTGACCTGAGCGGTCTACTGGAATTGTCTCTGGTGAAACAGCTGTGGTGAAAATGAAACTAATTAAACTGAAACAAAATTTCCCCAGATCTTCCAAGCCCCTGGTCAGTAAACTGATTTGAGAGAATCGTTCTGCATGTTTTAAATTCTGTGTATGGAATAGTATGCTGTGTTCACTGGGTTATCCTACAATTCTTTAATCCTTATTTTTAGGTTTTTCCTTTCCTTATTTCCAGGGTGTTATGTAGCCCAGGCTGGTTTCTCATGCAGTTTAATCTTCCTGCCTCTAACTCTGAAAACTAGGATTATGGGTGTGCTCCACCACACCAAGTTTATGCCGTGTTGTGACACCTCCAGGGCTTTGTGTATACGCCAGGCAAGCACTCTACCAATTAACTGAGCTCCACCCCTAGTGTCTATATCCATTATTGACAAGTCTGATGACTCAGTCCCCATCCAAAGTCCCTGTCTCGCATCTCCTCCTGGCAGCCTTTCCAAGGTGGGCCTGGCACACTTTCGGTGCTGAGTGAGGCCTCTCTGAATGAAGTCTCTTGTTCTTCGCACACTTCTTAGCCAAGTGTACCTGTTTCGTAATTCCTGGTTACGCCAAATAAAGAAAAGCTCCTCAAACCTAACCTAGACTGTGAAGTCTCTAGCATGTTTGCTGTAAAACAGCCTTCCCCGTGCACGCACTGTTACAGCAGGTCCCCCCGGGCTCCAGTACCTGCAGGCATGCTCTCTAGTCTGATAGGGATGGATTTCAGAATATTGTCAAGGTTAGAAGAGATTGTAAGACAGATGAACTCAACAAGGAGGTGAGTTTTGAGACGAGAGTGGAGAGAGGGGCTTCATTCTTGTTTTCTAGGGTTTAAGAGCCGTGACTATCACCATCCTTGTGTAAGCCTCCATTCCCAGCAGGTCACTCCTCGGTTTAGCAATGTGGAGATTCTGCGCTATGTGGGATAGATAAAACTTAGACGTCACACAGCGGGGTGTGGTTGTGCAAGTCTGAATTCCAGCCCGCCGGTAGTTGAGGCAGGAGGACCGAGAGTCTGAGGTTAGCCTAAGACTACACAGAGGGAAGATCTAAGGAAATTTAAGGGGGGCAGTCAGATGGCTGAGCGGCTAGAGATGCTTGTCAGCAAGCCTGGAGACCCGAGTCAGAGCCCTGGGATCTACAGTGTGAAGTGGGTGCTGTAAACTGTCCTCTGTCCTTCGTGAGCACACGCTGGGACACTGGAACACTGTTCCGATAAACATGTGAAACACAAACAGACATGATAAATCCTACAGATCGGACTGCTTGGACCCATTCATAGAATTTCAGCTGTTGTTTTTACTCCCCACCGCTGAAATTCTTTGTGTGTGTGTGTGTGTGTGTGTGTGTGTATAACCTATATGTTTGTCATATATGTGAATGAGTCTAAGTACCTGTGTGTTCTTGCAGAGGCCAGAGGAGGTATTAGGAACCCCCATCTATCATGTCTGTCCTGTTCTTCTGAGGTGGAGTCCCTCACTGAATGTGGAGCTTTCTTCTTTTAGCTAAGCCGGCAGCCAGCGAGTCCTCATGATCTTGTCTCCACTGTTCTCAACGCGAAGGTTGCAGGCATGAGGGGGGTGATAGTCAGCTTTCGTGTTGACTCTGGGATCCAAACTTCGGTCTTCACATGTGGGCAGCAAGCATTATTAACTACTGAGGCGTCTCTCCATCCTCTGAATAATTTTTAAATATTTTATTTTTTATTTTGTGTGTGTGTGTGTGTGTGTGTGTGTACCAGATGTATGCAGGTGCCTGTGGGGGCCAGAAGAGGATGATGAATCCCCTGAAGATGGAGTTATAAGCCATTGTGAGCGACCGCTGTGGATGCTGGGAATTCAGATGTACTCCTCTGGAAGAGCATCAGGCGGTCTAACACTGAGTAATCGGTCCAGTTCCTCACCCCCAGCAGATGTTCCAGATTCTCAGGAACAACTGAAATAAAATATTCTCTTTTGTTTCCACTGAAATTGTAAGGTCATTAAATGTGGCTGTCGTATCCTGCATTCCCTCAGAGCAGATACAGTCATCCTGTAGGGGGCGAAGATGAAGTCTCTTCTCGCGGCTCCACCCTGCTCAGTCCACAGATGACCTCACCTTGCCCCTCCCTGGGTTTCTCTCTGTGTTGACAAAGATCTGGGAAAGGGTCCAAAGGCCACCACTTCTGCAAGCAAGTTCTTGCTTATCTACAGGTGTTTACTATCTCCAGGGATGCACAGCTGCTCCCTCATCCCAGGTGCTCCTGCCTCTACACTGGGGGTGCTTACTATCTCCAGGGATGCACAGCTGCTCCCTCACCCCAGGTCCTCCCACTGCTCCCCTTTTCAGCCCAGCCTTTCCCAGTACCCCCTGCCATTGTGCTATGCTTACTTCAAAACATCACAACAGCTTGGTGGTCAGGGGGAGAAATTGGCAATCCTACAATCTTGGTGAAGCTACTCGCTGGCTGACAGCTTTGAGTAACTCTGTGAGACTCCTGTGCCTCAGTTTACTCATCTGTTAAACAGGATAAATGTCATAGGCTTTAGTTGTGAGGACAGCCACCTGTCATTACTGAGTACATGGAAGCACCCAGAAGCTTTTAAAAATTGCCACCCGTGTGCCCACCCCTACGCTGACCACCCCCCCAACAGTGGGTATGGGAGAGGCCTGGGTGTGCTGGGTGTGGTTGTATTTTTTAACCTCCCCAGGTGCTTGCTCAGCCAAGATTAAGAAGCCAAGATTGAGACATTCTGCTCTAACTTGCCCCTGGAAACTATGACTTTACTAGGCACTCCCCCACAGCCAGCCTCTCTTTCGATTCCCTGGGCAGGTTGTCTCCAAGGGGATGGAAAGAATCTATGGGGCAAGCGTTCAGCTGCATAGCTCTCCAGTAGTGGGAGGCCTGTGTGTTGGCCAAACAACTGCTTGACTCGCTTTGGGAGTTTGGGGTGTTAAGGATTGGTGACCTGTAGCCGATGCCCATCCACCAACCACCTGCCGACAGGTTTGTGCCTGGCATTTTCACTAATCCCAGAGTTCTGTCTTCATACCCCAGCTGACTTCCTACCGAAACGGGCATCGGCGCTCAGTGCTCTCGAAGAGCCGTATTTAGCCGTACCTTCCTTCATTATTGTAGCCTGGCTCATGGCAGCGTAGCGGAGGTGTTGGTGACCTCCATTCACTTCTTTGGTCACCCCACAAGTGACTTCTTGGGTGCTGTTCATTCTTGTGGGACTTGGAGGAAGGCAGTACACAAGCCCGTTCCCTTTGAGGGAGGTGAGATGCTTGGTAGCTATAAACGACCACATGGGGCAGGGGGGGGGGAGGGTTGCGCGCGCAGGCACCTGGTTCCAGAGTCCAGGGCTGGGACTAAAAGCGAACACCTTTCTAAGGGGGTTACAGATAAGGCCCAGGGTGGAAACCACTGCAGAGAGTCTCAGTGGTCAGCCGCGTGGAATTCTCAAATCTTGATAAAGCCATTGACCAGCTGTGTAGCCTTAGGAAGGTCAGTGACGCTCATGTGCCTCCGTTTACTCAAAGCTTGACTTTATGCAGAGGAAATAGGCAAAGAGTGGTAAAAAAAAAAAGTAAGGGTGGTGAGTGGACCTGCAGAATGCACTCTGCCATTTCTGCATGCCGTGAGAAGATGTTCAGCGAGCAAAGCGCTTGCTGCCAAGCCTGAAGATCTGATGTTCAATCCTTAAGACTCATAAGGTGGATGGAAAAAACCGACTCCTGCAGCTGTCCTACGACCTCAACACTTGCAGCACAGGGCGCGACCCCTCCCTCCACACTGTGCACCCAAAATCAATAAATAAACATGCAATGAAAATTGATAGACTGATTAAATAAGAAGCGTATCGATTACATTTCTTGTCCTTCTGACAAAATGAACAAAAAAAAGCAATATGAGGGACCAAGGATGGCTTTGGGCTCTTGCTTGTAGAGGGTTGCAGTTCATTATGGAGGGGAAGGTAAGAGAAGGCTAGGTCGTATGGTGTGCGAGCATCGGAAGCAGAGAATGCAAGTGGGAAGCGGGGCTGTGTGACCTTCCACAACCTTCAGAGTAATGCTAAGAATTGAAGACCGGGGTTCAGAACTTTAGTTCAGCTTTAGTGGGAAGTCTAGATTCAAGCTATGGTGAAACTCAGAGCCTTCTGCATGCTAGGTATGCGTGCCTGTGTCTGAGCAGGCGAACAGCTCCTGGAGGTTAGAGGAAGTGAAATAGCATGAAGCTAGCCTGGGGGGTGGGGGGCTGCCTTAGTAACCTGTGGCCATGAGAGCTGAGAATGAGTCAGAGGTAGGGCTTCTAGGAATGGGCTGATTTAGTAACCAGCTGAGCCCAAGAGAGCCTCTGGAGTTTGGAAGGAGGCGAGTGGGGACTAGGCATTTAGGGACCAGGCTGAGCCCCACCCCAGCACCCACAAATCAGGTCAGGTGTTACTGTCACTGTTTGCTGTCCTGGCTAACAGGACACGTGGCCTCTTGCCTCACCAGAGTTCTCAGAAGCCTGTAGCCACTGAGCAGCCAATGGGTCTCTTGTCCAGTTTTTTTTTTTTTTTTTATAGAAACAGGGCAGAACGTACTGTTTCTAAGCCTTTGAGTCAAGCCCAGGATTTCCCTGGTGCCTGGACAATGTTGGCCAAGAGCTGGGAGCGTGGGAGGCACATGTTCCTCCACTCCGTTCAGGGGAGCTGGCTATCAGGCAAGCCTGTCTCATCTCTCCCCACAAACCCAGGGTTTTCCAGCTCTCCCTCACATCCTACCCAAGACAAGTTCCGAATACCTTACTCTCCCTTTCCCCCAACCGAACATCCTTCGAAGTCAAGGGGAGTTTCTGAGCTATTGTAGCACCTGGTCTGCGGCAGGCTGACCAAGGAGAGCTAAGATTCAGGAGTTTTCCCAAACACCAGGACAGAAAGCAATGCCCAGCCCAGAGAGGCGAGCCCGTGTGGGAGGGGCAGTGAGCTCTTCCACCCCTCCCCGCTTCTCCCTCTGTCCCTTTGTTCTCCTTCTTTGCTTTTCTTCCCTCAGTAAAGACTGGCTGCAGCCGTAGAGACGGCCACCTGGGGTGGCTAGGCCCCGCGGATTCAGGAGGAACTCCCTGCAGGGGAGCTGGACACAGCACGATCAATCGACTGGAGTTGGGCAAAACGACCAAGATAAAAGTTTCAAACTGATACTGTTGTTGAACTGTTGGAGACTTCAGGTGGTCCCAGGCTGGCGTCAAACTTGTTACGTAGCCCAGGATGACTTGGGGCTCCCCACTTCTACTGCTTAAGCGCTGGGATGAAGGTGCCACCGTGCCCAGTTTCTAGGGTCCTGGGGATTGAACCCAGAGCCTCACATTTGCTAGGTAAACACTCTAGCAACTGTACTTACTATACATCTCCAGCCCCTCGGCTAGTTCTTAAAGCATCTAACTGCTTTAGAGACCAGATGGGCACTGCTGGCTTAGGGGAATCGGAGTCTCAAGTTTCCTAGAGACTTGGGACTGCATTGCACTCTGTTTCTATCCAGTCCCTCAGAGAAGATGGTGAGCAGAATGGTGTGACTTTGAGAAGACTCTCTGGCTGTATGTAGGTGGGAATGGGTTGCAAGGCCTTTAAGCTACCTAATCCTTTTTTTAAGCTCATTGATATCCTAGTCTGAAATAACTACCATTAATGGTATCCAGAGGGCTTGTAAAAGATGAACCTCCTTTCCAGGGTGATTATCAGGGCAGGTTTGTACCTAGTTCAGCCACACCCTTCTGGGTTGGTCTTGTTGGGAAGAGGCCAGGCAGCCTGACAATCTGGAGGACTCTTATCCAGGCTGGCCCAGAGGGTGAGCTAAATCGTCAGGAGGGGCAAGGGTGGGGTGTTCCCTGATGCCTCAGGTTCTCTGTTTTAACTGGCCTCACCACCCAGGCTCCTTCTTACCTCCCAGATCTCAGCATAAATGCCAGCCCCCCTAGGAAGAGCTGTTATCTTGTCGCTCTTTACCACAAGGCCTTCCTTAACTCTTTCTCACTCTGCTTTTCTTCTCGTTCCTCACTCAGTTTCTCAGTTCCACTAGCATGTGAATGAGCGCAGCATTGGGACAGCTGGTCTGGCTCACTCCGTTTATCTCAACACCAAAGGTTCTGCTCTGTGTGACAAAGAACTCGGAGATCTCCTTTGCTCTCAGTTCTGGGCACAAGTGAGTCTCCCAAGCCTGTCCAGTCAAGAATGACAAGAAGACCTACTGTGTGTGCAGCAGCGTAGATCTGAGAGGCCATTGCACCAACACCTTTCGAGAAGACCTGCAGCACAGTAATGGAACGGATTGAAGAGCAGCTAGCGGCCTTTGAGAGCGATGCCTACCTGCTCCCAGGAGCTTGAAGGCTAAAATTAGGGCTGTGTGTGGAAGCTTCAGAATGCTGCATTCTAAGTCAGCAAGAGGTCAAGGGTATGACAGGTGGGAGAGACATGCAGAGGAGATTTCAGCCATGCCACAGAGAGACTCAACAATCTTTCCTTCTTCTGAGATTTGTAGACTATTTCAAGAGCCTTGTTTTATTGGAAATAAAGATTTTGCTCGAATTCTCAACATTGGGTAGCTGAGGATTTCCACTCATTATCGTGTCTCAAACATGGCCCTCTTTATGATTAATGGATGTTAGAAAGGGATTTTTTCTTTTTTTAACTTTTGTAACTGAAAGCACTGCGTTCACACCTCTCAATGGATGCAAAACCAAAGTTACACACAGTCAAGAAAAGTAGAGAGTAATTTATTACCTTCAGCAGGTGAGGAAAGCATGGGGCTCATTTCCAAAACAATTTCTCCCTCCCGCCTCCGCTCAGTATCATGAAGGTCAGGCTGTCCTTAAACAGTCTACGTACCTGAAGATGACCTTGAATGGTGTTCTAACCAGCTCTACCTTCCTAGGAGTACAGGCACAAGTCACCATGTCTGGTTCATGTGATGGTGGGGACGGAGCCCAGCCAGGGCTTTGTGCCTGCTAGGCAAGCACTCTACCAATGGAGCGCCATTCCCAACTTGTATTCTTATTTTATAAATGAAGTATCTTGTATTACACAACAATACACTGTGTACTCTTTCCATTGGGATTGAAAAGTCCACATCAACCTTGAGAAATTTCAAGATGCCTATGAGTGGAAATTCTCATACTTGAGAATTTAACAAAGCAAAACAAAAAAATCAGTTTTAAATTTGTAGGGAAGCTTTATAAAATCGATGTGTTTGTAGAAAACAATGCTAGTTATTTTTCATGTTGTTATGGTTGTTTTGTTTTTCTCTTTCCTATCATCTACTCTTCCCCTATCTAGCTGAGAAACTGAGTTAGACCTCCACCATGCATTCCTTGCCGATGTTCAAGACCAATCATATAGTCTGACCTGTTGCTCTACAGGTTCAATCTGGTGTGGGCAGGAAGATGACAGAAGTGAAGAGAAAGGGAAGTGTTGGATAGGGGATGGAATGGGATGAGGTGTCACCAGCATGTAACATGAGAGGTTGTTTGTTTGTTGGGGGTTTTTTGTCCCGTCCGGCCCCCCAGCTATTTAGTCCCAGAGAAAAATCACACACAGATCCCTTTAAGTTATAAAGCTGATTGGCCCATTAGGTCAGGTTTCTTACTGGCTAACTCTCACATCTTGATCAACCCATTTTTCTGATCTATTTTAGCCATGTGGCTCAGTACCTTTTTCAGTGGGGCAGCTCACATCCTGCTGCTTTGGTGATCTGGGCAGGAGTGGGAGAAATCAACTTCCTCCTCCCCAGAATTCTCCTGCTCTCCTTGCATCATTTCCATTTCCTGTCTGGTTTTCCCACCTACACCTTCTGCCTGGCCAATCAGCGTTTATTTAAAACTTGATTGACAGAATACAGACAATTCTCCCGCACCACCAGCAGGCTTCAGTACAGGAGCAAGCTGCCCCGTGTGCTCAGGGCTTGATGTGCTCCAATAAACATTTCTAATGCAAAGATGCCCAACTGCAAATATTCCCAGACAAGGGAAGAAAAGGATGTATGTGGTGTATTATGTATGATATGCAATTCAGGGTAAACAGACGGCCAGCATGTGTGTTCTTTCCTTAGCTAGAAGACAGTTGGATCACCACCATTACTAACAAGAACTCACTGGTCTTGTCATGTTAGGACTTGTTGCCTGGACCCACTCATCCAGATGAGGTGGATGTTGATAGTCTCATCTACTATGATCCATCATTCCTCTATTTTTCATGGTGAGGTCATGGATGCCAGGATAAATGTTTATTCTGAGTCCCTTTAAAAACAACCTTGGGATTCTCATC